TTAATTAAATATGACCTCTATTGAAACTTGTCCTTGTCATACAAGTTTTTAATTGGTTTCAAGTTGGCTGCTTCATTAGAATGAACGTTAAATATCATTATCCTCGGTAACAGGGTGAACACGTCCCTCCCGTCAGTACGATGCATGTGTACTTTCCATTGTCCCAGGCCTGTCCCTCCATAGAGTCCCATTATGTCCCCTCTCTGTCTAAGTGCAGGAAGCCCAGCAGCTGGCATGTTTTTGCAGAAATCTAATCTTTGGGAGAAAACTGCTCCGTGTTGAATATTTAATGCTGAAGAGGTGAGCTCCTCCGTGACACCGCGTCAGGACGACACTTTCTATTGAAAAGCTCTGACACCGAAGCCGTGAAGAGGAGAGAGAGCAGAGCAACTCAAGCCTAATCGCGCCACAGGGCTTCAATCGCACTAATGAAGCTAAAACTATAGACCGGAGCTGCACGGACCAGGCAGAGAAAGCCTTTTCCACTGTAAGATAACACGCTAACCTGCTTTACGATCCTTCACACCTTTAGAGACTGAATTAAAGCCTCAATTATTCAAAGCTTTGGACCAGTATTAGATGAAGCAATTATAACTTAACGTGTCACTGATCCAACTCTAGTTTGATGATCTGCAGAGGGACTGTGAGCGGGGGAAGCAAACAGCTCATGAGAAGTGTTTTTGGTGAGGTTTCAGAGTGGTTAGCCTCGTATCAAGGTTCCAGATAGTGATAATCTGATATGGATTTTGTCAGTTGATACTGATATGTCTAATATACTGTATGTGTTGTTATCGGTTAGGGTTGTCAAAAGTATCGAAAATCAGACACTAATCAAACTAGACACTCATTTAAGCAAATAGCAAGACTAAAAAAAACACATAACTGGATAAAATGTGACCTTTCCTTTTTCATTTCGTCGTTGGGTTTGCATTGTGTTTTATTGCATTTCTTTGTTGACTGTGTAAACGTACACTCCTCCTAACAGCTCTTCCAATGCAACTCACTAGTGATAGAGAAATGGGCCTGCGTCTTCAGAGGTGTACCGTATTTTCCTCACCATAGGTCGCGCTCTTAAGCCTCCAACGCCCATCAAAAAACGACTGCGCGCCCCGCAATCCAGAGCGCCCTATACATGAATCCACTCCGGTGTCCCAGCACGACTTCAGTAAACTACAAAGCCGCACCACCCGCAGAACACGCAAACACACACGGAGCAGACAGCGACCATACAGTAAAACACACCCACAGACACACTCATCACTCCACACCGACGAGGAACGGAACAGAGGAACGAACCGAAAAAGCGAGTGCAATGTGCCGCTTCTAGACACAACTGAACAACTGAGTCACTGCGAACACGCCGACAATCCGTTGGTCCCAGACAGCACCCTCCCTACAAGCCACAACTGACAAAGACAAAGCCCAGAGTCACCGTGAACGCACCAAACAAACAAAACCACTCGCCCATCACACTGTTGTGTTTCCTTTAAAGTCCCACGCCGTTTATTTGTGAAAAAAGTTTGAAAATAGACCATTCTATAACAGTGCGCCTTATAATCCAGAGTGCCCAATAGCCCGGAAAATACGGTCCTCCCTACAACAGAAGCATAGCCAGTCTGGAATGTACTAGGCTGGAATGGACAACACTATCACAATGTGTACCATCACCTCATGGATGCTGGAAATGCACAAGATCACTGCGATCTTAAAATCCTTACACTGGTTCCCTGTTCTTTTCCGTGGTGATCGTGGTGCTGACTTTTAGGGCTCTACATGGCCAGACTCCTGCTCACATCACAGATCTGATAACCGTACACCTCTGCCCGTTGCCTGAGGTCTGGAATTGCTTCTTACCTCCGCTCTCTAGATAGTGTAGATGCTTTTAAAAAGTAACTAAAAACGTTTCTCTTTGAACAAGCATTCCCGTCCCCTCGGGTTTAGAGCTGCTATGACTGATTTTATTATGAATCTATCTTCTGCTGTTTTTATCTTTTGTATGTGAAGCACTTTGTGACCTATGTCTGTGAAAAGCACTATATAACAAACTTTACTTACTTACTTTTAATTTCCTCGTAACAACAGTGAAAAGTTTACTGAGAAATGGTAAATATTTCAGTTCTGTTACTGGGGCAGGAGAGGAGAGAAAGCTGGAGACAGTCCATCGGTAAATTAAGACCTGCTTTTCTAATGGTGTGAACTCAACACCCGAAGAAGAGGCCATCACTCAGTCACAGCTCAAATTTAACTAGAAGAAGAACACCAACAGTCTGCTGCTTCAATGATTAACCATGTTTTTAAAGAGCGGGATTTGACTTGATAACACATGACATATTTACATCACATTTTTACTGTTTATTGTTTTGAAAATGCTATATTACCCCCCATTTGCTCTCCGTGCTAAGTCACTCCCCCTTCAGAGTGCTATCATGAAACAACCAGGGATCTCTAGCTTACTCAAACATGCATGGATGACACCTAAAACTACTTCAGGCATGTTTTTGATGAGCGTTATAACGTGGCAGAAAGCTCCAGAAACTCTCACTCTTTAAGGCTACGTTTACATGATGACGGTCTGAACAGAAGACACAAAAGTGGCGTCACGGCTTCACTTTTTATTCCGTGTTTGTTTTTCAGATTTTTGCATTTTTAAGCCCCAAAAAAAGCCGTCACTGCCTAAACGAAAGGCAGTTCCGATTAGGGATGGGCATTCGATTAAATTTTCTTAATCGATCGTCGGGAGAATTAAGGATCGATTACCGATTAATCATTAACGTATTTATATTAAAATGATCATCATTATTATTACTATCTGCACTACTAATGTGCATAAATAAATTCAACTTTATGACATATAAACCGTAACCACTCTAAGAGCCACATCAGCTGTTTGACATTAGAATGTGTTTAATGCAGCTTTGCACAAGTCTCACAGAAACGAAACTTAAAAGCGTATGGCTAATTTGCATAAATTAAGAGAAGAAAAAAAACTCTTGTGTCGCTGATGCGGTTCAGCTTCTGTCGGATTAATGGACACGACTCAGTGGAATACAGGTTAGTGTGACCAGATTTGTGTCAAACCAGGACACCGTACGGGGGGAGGGAGGTGGAGCCTCGTCATCGACATTGAGCGACTCTCACCTGGTAAAACTTTTTCCCACTGGACACTGAAACATATGTGCTGCTTTATCCACTGTGCACATGGACTTACACTTGTCCCGACCGGAACAGAAAGTGTGGAATTTCTTGTACAAGTCATCGTTACATATGCATTTGCTCTTCGGCACGTTGCAGACTGACTGACTGTTTGTGTCTCGCTCCTTCTGAGTGCAAAGAGACAAATGTACAGACCCTGTTTGGTCACACTACACACAGCAACCTACATTCGGTTTGTCAATTAAAATGAACATAATCAATGAAATTCTTAACGATCAATTATCGATTAATAGACTAATCATCACTACTTCCAATTAAATATTTTGTCATTTACACAGTTTTGTCCAGCTTTGTGTTTCACTTATTCACTCACAATAATATACTAATAATACTACTATAGTCTAATTTCAATACTAAAGCAAATTTTGAAACTAGAATCTCATTTGAGCGGGTATCAATACTAAAGAGGCCCCTTCAAAGGACAGAAATGAGTCGTTCCCGATTAGCTTTATAATGATCTTGAGCTGTAGCAGAACAACTATATGACTAATATACACCCATGAACAAGTATGGAACCTACCAGGACTAGAAGTGTGCAAAAATATTGAAATATCGATATGGTGTATTGTTTAATGTGATGATACAGTATCAATATCAGGTGCTGCTGTATCGATATATTTTTTGGTATATTTTACTAAATTATTTTGTTACAGAGCTATAGTTTTGTTGCTTGTTTAGAGGAAGGAAACTTGTTTATGTGACACATTTGATGATTAAAAGTGTTTGTGTTTCATATTCACTTTGCACGAGAAGTGGTTTAATAAAGACTTTTAGTATCACAGCCATGATTTAGCCTTTACTTTTTGTTGAACCGTATCAAATCGATTTGAAATATATCGTATCAAATTGAAAGCGCACTGTATCCAGACATGTATCATATCGTGGCCTATGTATCGAGGTCTGTGTTGTATCATTAAGCAACTTCTTAATGATAATCTGGACCACTGAGGAATTACACAGATAAAAGAACGTACTATCATTTAATGCTGTATCAGAGTATTGAGTCTGTTCCTCAGTATAAAAATCGAGTTTGAAATTTTTGTATCTTGATAACACTGTGTGATATTGCAAGACAGACTTGAGTACTAAAAACATCCCTCTGTGCTCATGCCCAGTGCAGACTGGTGGGGTTTTCCGGGCCTTGTTTGGTCTCTGATCCTCAGGCCTGGGGCGCTCTGTTGTAATGGCGGTAACATTACAACTCATTTAGACTGAGAGGAAGCGCTGACTCATGATTTACCTGAACCACGCTCTGTCATTTTCACTTTTCACACGCGCAGTCTGCCCCAGGGCGCGTGGAGCCACCGGAGGAAGTCATCAACACGACCAGATCTGCACAAACACAAAGCCACAGGCACAGGGAACTGTTTAAATACTTAAATGTGTCAGACTTGAAAACTGTATACCGTACTGAAAATTAGGTCAAACAAGACAACACATGACAAATCAACAACCCTTGAAATGAGCTCAAAATACTTTTTCCGCAGGGGTCTACAGTCGTTCACATGGTTATTTTGACTGTCCCAGTCTGTAAAGTTTGTTGGACCCTGGTGTAGCAGACTAGAGCTGCCCTGGGGCAGACTGGTACTACAGTCCTTTAAAACACACACATTCATACAGCGCAAGGACTACGCACTGTGCACTGAACTTAACCTCAAATGGTCAAATGACCCTACCAATGACACATCATCATGTGATCATTTGATTATTGTCATTTTAATATATTTTGGAAACTATTCTGTTAATCAAAATCTCACCACAGACTGTTTTTGTGTTGTTTTTTTCAGACGACAGGTGAGCGCCCGTTCATCCAGAAACTGTTCCGCCCGGTGTCTGCAGAGGGCGCTGTCCACACTCTGGGAGACCTGCTCAGAGAAATGTACCCAGCAGCTGTGCCCCAAGAAGGTACTCTCTCTCCATCTCTCCTCTCCCTCCCTGTGTCTCCACGAGGTCTTATTCTGTGTAAAAGCTGCTGACCCTGTATTTTAGACTCTACATATATATTCTGAAACAAGTGGGATTCTTACAGAGTTGTGCAGTTGATTGAGGATCAATTCCTGCTTGTAACTGTTCTGTTGTTTGGTTGCCATGCAGTTAGGCAAGACACTTGACCCACATTACCTGGTATGAATGTGATGGTGATCTTATCACCAGAGTGTGGAGTGAATGAATAATGACTAATGGCATTATTGTGTAACACTTTTCTGAAAACAAACATTTAAAATATTTTATTTCAATATTTGATTGACTGAAATCATTCAACTAGTGAATTTCTGTCTGGTTTTGTCCCACACCTGTTTTCACCTGCCAGAGCCTAAAGAGCCTATAGTGCGTTTGTGGTGTTTGAAGCCTAATCTGGTGTGGGCCTTTAGAGCGTGCTCGTCCCGTGTCCCTGATCCTCGGGGATAACCCTCCCTCTGTCTCTGTGTCTCTGTCTCACCACATGAGAGAGAGACACAGCACAGAGACACAACACACTGTTTGAACTGTCTCGTCCCCATATCCCTCCTGTCTCCTGCTTTAACAGAACGCCCCCCTCTTCCTCCTCTCCTCCTCCTCCTCCTCCTGCTCTCAGAGCCAGTCCAAACACGGGGCGTAATCCGAGTGATCAGCGGCGCAGGGACAAAAGAGAAACTTTCACTCTGATCTAAGAGAAAAGAAAAGATTTTGACTTTAAACGAACCACAGACGACACCTGAGACAGAGCTTCAAAGAGATGAGACACAAATGTACGGGGGGGTAGTTTTACACAGCAGTTATTCAATTATTATTAAATACATTCTTTTTATAGCAACAATGCTTTTTTCATTCATTTTTCCCATAGGCATAAAAAAATCAAGCGTTTAAAGGCAAGGCAAAGGCTTATAACCGGGTCAGTGAGGTGACCAACAGCAGAGGTGGGACTTGCAAGTCAGACTTGAAGTCATTATTTTTAAGACTTGAGACTTGACTTGATAAAATGGACTAAGACTTGGAACTTGGACTTGAAGCTCATTGACTTGGGACTTGACTTAGACTTGAGGCCTGTGACTTGAGAAGACTTGAGAAGCACTTTTAAATCTGAAAAAGTATATTATATTTATATTTGAGTATTTATGTAGAGTGTATGTAAGTACAATTTATCTTAAAAGTCATATAAACTGCAGAAATCTAAGCTATATTTGGTTTAAAGACTTGAAATGACTTGAAGCTCAAAGCAGACGACTTGACTTATGAGCCAGTGACTTGAGACTCAACTTTGCCTGTATTTGACTTGGGACTTGACTCGGGACTTGAGGTCAAAGACTTGAGATTTACTTGAGACTTGTAAAACAGTGACTTGGTCCCACCTCTGACCAGCAGTGGTCTGGAGACTGGATCAGTCAGCGCAGCATTCAGGTTTGGGCTGAGCCCAAACAAATCAAATCAAACAGCAACAGGACAGACATACTTCAGCCTATTTGATCAGAAACACGGACTATTCAGTTTGTGAAAAACATGCAGAGGAGAGCTCTTTGTGCATTTGTGGAAGAAACACGTCTGTGCTTTTCTCTCAGTTGGATTTAAGTGAAGTTTTTCGTCTTGTTCTGGCTGTTGTGACGCTTCAATTCAAATATTAGTCATGATCTTCCACCTTTTCCAGATGTAAACGTGTAGAAGTCAGAGTGACACATCTCACACTGGGGCAGGGGGTTAGTGGATAGAGGAAAACGGCAATAATATGCAATTAAAACATTTATTTTTAGACTACAACTCTGAAAGTAATTAATTTATATTTTAAATAGTTTTATAGTAATGAGTTATCCCATGGAAGATTAGACTCCATCAAAATTCAAAAGATCACTGAAACAGTGAACAGGAATCCTTTCTTTTAATAGTTTGGACACAAAACAGAAATACACTGTGTGCACAATTATTAGGCAAGTGGGTATTTTGACAATATCATGATTTTATGCATAATTCTCCAACTCCGAGCTGTATAAACTTGAATTCTTATTGGATTTAAGCAAATCCGGTGAGGTGTATTTGTCTAATGAGGGAGGGTGTGGCCTATATCAAGGTGTGGATTTATTAGGCAGCTTCTTTTCTACAGGCAACATGGGCTCTGAAAAATCAAACATTGTAAAAAGTCTTTCAGAGGGATGCAGCATTCTTGAAATTGCAAAGATATTGGGGCGTGATCACAGAACCATCAAATGTTTTGTTGCAAATAGTCAACAGTGTCGCAAGAAACGTGTTTACTATTCTGACAGATGAAAAACAAGTGAGAATGGAAAATGTTCATTTTTCATGTTGCTTAATAATTCTGCTGATTTATAGTTGCCCAATAATTGTGCACACAGATTTTTTCCTAAGAAAGTCAAAACTTCATTTTAACTTTCTTATTCAGGTTTGAGGTTTATTAACATTTTGGACTGACCAGGAGCACTGTAGTTGTTCAAATATAAAATGAATCCTCTTAAATACAACTTGTGTAATAATTATGCACACAGTGTATTATGAGTAATGTTTCTATATTTATTTTTTTATCTACAAAACTTCTGTGGCTTTTCCTGCTTATCTGACTCTGTGTTGTCCCTCTTGCTGTTTCTTCTGAAGTGCTCCTCTCATAGATGTTAGATGTTTGTAGATGTTTGTGTAAATGTCAGAGCTGAGCTGCAGGTGCCGTGCTGTGGGCCCTCTGTCTCTCTGTCTCTGTCTTTTGTGTTGTTATCTACTTCCTGTCTCCTGTTTAGACTTCACTCTCTCCTTGGTTTCCTCTGAAGTTTGGCTCCTCCTCCTCAGACCTTCAGTCAAATCTACTTTCAATATGAGGGGAACGCACACAAACTTTACTGCACATAAATACTCAAATCACTCAACCAAATAGTTCATTAAGAAGTAAATGTTGATGTTAATGTTGATGGTTAAAGATGCACTGTGTAACTTTTGGTAGAGGGTAGAGGAATGTTCCACAGTATGGCATTGAACTTTCTCCATGGAGACAAGCGAATGGAATACGTGTAAATGTACGTATAAATGCTTTACCTAGATTGTTCATCAGTATGGCAAGTTTTCTATCTCCATGGAGACAAGCATGGGAAGCCACCAGGCCAAGATACGGGTCAGATCTGTGGAGAGGCAACCCCGCTCACAGTGCAGTAAGAATGTCTGTTTTTCAAGGTGTTTTTGAGAAATAAAAGTTGTAAAATGTTGATATTATATGTAATGCCATACTGTGGAAGATTCTAAGCAAAGCATCGTGACATGTATAATGGAGACAGGCGGGTGGCGGACCCTCACTCAGAAAGCGCACACATCTCGACTAGAGTTGGGCCCTAGACACGAGCATACATCTAAATGTTTGTGTGTGGTGGAGTTTGCGTGAGAAGTTTTCTATGTAAGAGGCACGGCTCTGGTTTGTCCACGTAATTTCAGGAGAGCCGTTTGAGCTCCACCCGACACCTGCTGCACTTTCAGCCTACAGACTCACAAACAGCCTCCTCTTCCTCCTCCTCGTTGTCTGCAGATACCAGCGCTCTGGAGGCTCTGCTCTGACTGGATTCTGCTGTACACTCTATGGCCAGTCATTCAGATACACAAGGCCTGCTCATACTCTAGTCTATAGAACAAGGAACAAGGCCCACCACTGCTTAGCTAGATTTATTTGTATTTAAATTTTTATTTTATTTGTAATTTAATTTACTAAATTTTATTATTTTTTTATTTTATTGTATTACTTTTATTTATTTATTTATTTTTATTTATTTATTTTTTTTTACTTACTTATTTTGCATGATTTCAATAACAATATTTAGACAATATTTTCAAAACGCTTTAGGAATGTGCTAAAATGTAAAATGTTTCTATAAATACCTTGTTTGAGTAAAAAGTTAAGCACAAAAAGAGCTGACTTCATACTCTTACAGATTACATCAGACGTTTTATCTGTTTTTTTTTTTTAGGTTTATAGTTTTAATTTTCGATAATGTACTTTTTTTTTGTTTGTTTACTACTTTCTACATTTTAAACACATTCAGAAGATGATCTGAAGCAAGATAAATGGAAATATGCAACAGAAGAAAAAACTCTCAGGTCAAGTCTCAAGTTTAAATAATTTCCCTTGTGGATCAATAAAGTTTGTCTAAGTCTAAGTTCGCTAAATACATTTTAGATTTTCGGTTCAAATTCGCAGAGTCTCCACCCTTTGCTTTGGGGAAAGAGCTGCAAACTTTTGACCTTCATGATGAAGTCTCCTGAAATGGTTTTCACTTCACAGCTGTGCCACATCAGGGTCAAGAAATGCCAAAAGTACAAAGCAATAAGGGTCTTTATTTATTTTTTAAATCTCAAATCTAAAGCATGTATGAATTTCTTTTGACTTTATTTTTTATCCACTCCACTCCACATGTGTCCTTCATGGTCTGATGCTTCCGTGAGAGTATCGAGTCAAGTTTGAAATTGTACTACTGTGAGAACACGAACAGTCCGTGATATTAGTAAGCATGGACGGTTCTAAATAATGTCGAAGGGTCAAAAGTTGAGGTCTGGGTTTGTCTTGAGTCGATTCATAAAGAAACTGGTGTCAGTTAAAATGGCACATTTCACTAAATCAGAGACAACAGCGATTGTGAAGTCTGTGCCCCACATCCTCCTGATATGACTGAGAAGGACAAGTTTAGTTAGAATCTGGCTCTACACATTTCTACTGTTATTAAAGGGCCTATATCACGGTGTTTACTGATGTATGATATAATGTCGTTTCCTCATCACAAACACATCTGGAGTTGAATTTTGTTTCATTCACACATTTGACACCCAAACCCTGCATCTTCTATTAATACAGGAAGTGCTCCACTGTGTTTTAAACTCTGTGCACCTTCTCTAGAATCATTTGGATCATTTTCAGCCCTGGAATTGACAATCTTTACTGAACAAAGCGTAAAAAGGAGCTGTTCACTTGAAAACTACCACTACATGACATCATAAGGTGGACAAGAGCATTTTGAGCTAAACATAAAGGATTACTCAAACGTGTAAATGAAACAAAACACAACTCCAGGTCTGTTTTCGAGGAGGTAACAACATTATAACATGGCTTAAAGTTGACACAATTCGATTTCACCACTACAAATATATTGTGAAAGCGTAAAAAAATCAAAATGAGACCACTGTGGACAGTCTGCATCTAATTATAAAGCGGTTTTATTAACTGTGAGCCAGAAAGTACTGCTGGTGTAGTTAGGTTGCTTTTTGTTGTTGTATTATGACGACTAAACTCCTCTCTGGTCTCTGACAGTTGTAAAAAGTGCTTATAAACTCATCGTGGTGAGCAGTTAGGATGCTCTACATGCATAAGGCAAGCGAGGAATAACTTTGGACCGTTTACAATTCAGTTTTTCACGTTTAAAAATCAGGTACCACGTCGTTAGTTTACCGAGTCTGTACTTTAACGGAAAACTGTGAAAAATGTATGTGTATGTTGAGTATGTTGAGTTTTGCATATTGATTGAAGACCTTTGTTCTGGTCCCAGGGCGGAGGCGGTCCATGTGAAAGTACGATTCTCAAAGTGAAAGTTAACCACAGAGACAAAAAAACTGTCACTTTTTGTTCCTCTGTCTATAGGGTCGTCAGAAGTATTGAAAATCAGTTACTAAGTGATAAAACTACTGTCAGAACTAGACACTAATTTGAGCAGGTGTCAATACTAAAAAGTCACATTCAGAAACCTTTCCTGAATAGCTTGAATGATTTTGAGCTGTATCAGAACAATTATAAGAGCACATAGACTAGTATACACACATGAACCACTGAAGATTACACATTACACATATAAGACACATGAGAAAAAAGAAAGTTCTATCATTTAATGTGGAAAATCACAGTATATTGTCTAAATAAACAGACAAACAAGTATCGAGTATCGGTTCTATTCCTTGAGATCCGTGACATCTGACACACTGAGATGTAGGGGTGTGGGAGGGCATCTGACGCACAGGAGCACACACACACTCTCTCCCTCTCATGTCTGTATATTAGATGTGGGTTCTTGCTTCCTGTGTGTCCTCAGAAGTGGCGGCTCTGTGGCTTTTGAGTCGAGCTGTGTGCAAAACCGCCTGACAGCCTCTCAGCCCTGTGTTTTTGCACATGTATTTAACAGCCATGAATACGGAAAGCTGAAAACGGTCGAGGAAAAGGTGGAATTTTGTGATGAATATTTGAATCTAATTGGTTGAAGCGTCACAGCAGTGGAAAAAGACAAAAAAAAAAACTAAACATGAAACCCACAAATGCACAAATCACTTCCCTCTGCCTGTTTTCCCCAAATGACATAGTCTGTATTTCTGATCAAGTACCGTATTTTTCGGACTATAAGGTGCACTTAAAATAATTTTTCTGAAAAATCAACAGTGCGCCTTATGTATTAATTCTGATTGTGCTTACTGACCTCGAACCAATTTTCACATACAAAATATTCTACTGAGTCGTGTCCTTTAGTCCGACAGAAGCTGAACCACATCAGCGCACAAGGAAAGAGCGTTTTTTTTTTTTTTTTTTTTTTTTTTTTTATCACTTATAGTTTATGCAAATGAGTCATGTGGTTTCAAGTTTTGCTTCTGTAAAATGTAAACAAATGTGGCAAAGCTGCATTAAACACATTATTACTCAAAGTATATTAAGTCGTCCTCATAGGAAATAAAAAAGTCTCAATTGTCGTTTGTTTGTTTCGCTTAATGCGCCTTATAGTCCGAAAAATACAGTAATACTAATTGTTCAGAGACACGATCACTCAGTCAAAAATAAAATATCCTCTTTAATGTTCAACAATGGTCACAAATTTATTTAGTGATATACGAATAGTGTCTATTGACGAAAGAATTCTCCCACAGAGTGCAATGCATTTTGGGAATTCAAGATGCACATGTTCTGACAGGACATTCAGCTTTCACAAAGGTCAGATTTTGTAGGATTCTTTTCTATTTTCGCAAAATAAACTTGTTTACAGATTTAAATTCTCAAATCCCCACACTAGCTCTGCTGTAGCAGCTCTCGCTCTGATTGGTCCAAACGCTCCACGCTGTGCATGTTACAGACATCAGACAGGTGGGAGGAGCTTGGCCAGATTGAGGAAGTAAATACGGAAGTGAAAATTATTTTTGGCTCATGTGCCATTGAGCACAGATCACTGAAAACAATATAACGCCATCCTGGATTCATCTTCCAGATTTGATTCTAGTTTTATGCTCAGTCTGTAAACGCTCTTACAAAGCTCAATTTTAGACACTGGATGCCCTGTCAGCGGGCAGATTCCCAATAATATACTGTGCTCTGTGGTCAGGTCAGAGGTCAGGTGCCCTAACATGAAACCTCTGTTACACTGAGCTCTGTGGGAGAATTGTTTCTGGGCCCAGCTGCAGTACCTGGAGCGGCCACTAGTTGATTTCTCACTGGGACGAAGGAGAAAGTCTTATCCAGTTTCATTGTTCAAGTGCGCCTGTCTGCATCGCCATGTTTGTTTTGGTTCGTTTGGATGCCTCACCTTTAGCTCCACCCACACCACAGTGCTGCTCTGTGATTGGTCTGAAGCGCTGGCCTCAGGCCCAATCAAAACATCTGGAGGCCAGATGGATTCTCGTAAGTTTATGAATTCAAAAATGTCACCAGAATCCATCTGGCTGACCTTGTTAACCTAAATAATGAAACAAAATCCAATTCTCTGATTTATGAGTTTTGCGATTTATGTTTAAAAAGTAGGATTCTGTTCAGAATGGACTTAAATATAAACAACTAAAACTAATCCAAGAATATTGTGTGTTTCAGAACATGTTTGTAGAGTCTAAACTACAGGGTGAGCAGCTTTTACACAGAACAAGACTACTAACTACAGGATTAGCAGCATATTAAATAAAAAGACATAGTTGCCATGTTTACTTGAGAACTTTAATTCAAAATAAAAATAATTTAATTCTGAATGAAAATTAATTCCGCTTTAAAAAGATCATGTAAACATTTAATTCTTAATGAAAATGATTATTCGGAATTAAACTTACTTCCAAAGTAAGTGGATGGTTTATTCTGATTTTAAAGCCAAATTAATTTATTACTCGATCATGTTTCATGTTTATTCTTGTTAAAAATAATAATAATATTGTCATAGTTTAGTTTTGGGATTCGAACATTGTAATTGTGTGGTTGTTGGATCCTAACACTGTTTCTCTTCACAACGGAATTGAAAAATAGTGAAAGGTGAAGGCGATGGGCAGGATTGATCCACAGGAAGAACCAAAAAGGAAACCTTTGGCTGTCTAAGAAATCATCCCGAGGTTGCAGCGAACATTTTGTATGTGGAGCAAAATCTTGATCCCTCGCTTAACCTTGGTTACGAACTTAAAAAGTCAACGCCAAAGCAAAAGGCACCAACTGTTCACCAAGAAACACCTTCCACTGCAAAGAGACCAAGTCGTGATGTTGCTGTAAAACCATAAGAACAAGAAAGTGCAGCTCAGTCTGTTTGTCTTCTGCTCCTCTCCATTAACAAATGGGATCCAGCTTTGATGGCTCCACATACAAAATGTTCACTGCAAACTTGGGATGATTTAGGCAGTCAAAAGTTTCCTTTTTGGTTCTTCCTGTGGATCAATCCCTCCCATCGCCTTCACCTTTCACTGTTTTTCTATTCCGCTGGGAAGAGAAACAGTTTGAACAGAGGTTTGAGTCACACACATCTGATTTCCTTTTGCATCTATGGAGTTCGCAAACACATTTCTCGAGCCGTTTTCCGGTGTTAGGATCCAACAACCACACAATTACAATGTCCGAATCCCAAAACACTATGACAATATCAGAACCAGAAACAAAATTGATATGGTTCAAAAGACTTAAAAAGATTGACTTTGACAATAGACACATCCCACTGGGAAAACAAACATGGAGGTTTGATGCTCACTTTTTCGGAAAATCCTTCCCAGTATGAATTGCGCAATGACGGGAAGTCCAAAATTCTTGATACATCTGTTGCTTCACTGTGCAGCCTGTGAGCATCATTTCTAAACCGGTATCGTTCAAATCCGACATCAGATAAAAACAGGGTGACATAATCTGTTCTGTGTGTTCTGTCGCGTCTGTGTTGCAGGAGAGGAGAAGCGCCTCCTGGTGGTGATCCATGGAATCGAGCCTCTGCTGGAGACGCCGCTGCAGTGGCTCAGCGAACACCTGAGTCACCCCGACAACTTCCTGCACATCTGCGTCGTGCCCGCCCCCTCCGACTGAAGACACGCCCCCCACACTCTAAAGACACGCCCACTCTGAATAAAAACACCCCCCTCGCTCTAAAGACACTCACCCACTTCATAAATTTAACGGAGCTCAAAACTGAAATGAAAATGTATTTATTTTTCACAGATTTTGGAATTTGGTTTTTGAAAATTTTGAAAATCGGCCATGATCATAAACTCTCAAATCATTTACATCGGATGCCCTTCCTTCTGGACCACTGCTACCCCGAAAGTAACATTTTTACTTCATTATATCTTCGATGAAACTCCATTTTTAAGTTTTTTGACGTTTTTAATTTGATATTACGATCAATTTTTGGGACTTTATCAGAGATGGGCGAACGCGGTTACAACCAAACCACAGAGGGAGCATTTCACCCAGAGAAATGGACTCTAAGATCAGACTCTTAACACAATGGTTCCACACTTGTAGCATCACCCCAGAATGAGAAAGCTGCATGTTTGTACTTTAAAATCTGACACCGGCTCAGTCTGAGTGGAGGCGGGTCTGAAGAACGATGTTTCGACCCAGAACAGGAGCAGATTTTGGGGCAAACGTGAGCTGAAGCTGCCCCAGTGGAGACTCCAAAACTCAACGGGATTTGTCATTTCTTGTGACAGACAAATGGTTTTCATGCATTTTCCGGTTTAAAGGAGCATTAAAAGCGCACTACGGGACATTTCTGGTCAACCGTCCATCACCTGCTTGTCTCCATGCCTCTAATTTGTGTTTAAAATGTAAACTTTGAACAAATCTAATCTAATTTCAATTGGTTTTTTTTTCATAAATTGGGTCATTTTCTTACCTGTACCGAATAAACGCAAGATGGATATTTTTAATGCCCAACTTTAGAACATTTCAGGCCAAACAACAACATCTCCATGGAGACAGACAGGTGGGAGGCTCTTCATCACAAAAGTTCCACAGTGCACCTTTAACTTTATGGTCATGGGGGACAGTGAAGCAGAGACAGTTTAATTTAGTTTAATTTAATAGATTTTTTGGGTGACTAATTCTACATTTCTTTGACTAAAATATATTCCAAATAATTCTTCAATTTAAAGGCGCTGTACTTGATTTTTTTCTCCATGTATCTGAGCAAAATGTGTCTCACCCCAGTACAGATATATCATATAAGCAGCTCTTGAGATCAGAATACGAAGTGTGCGTTGGCATGCTGGTTGTTGTTGTTAACTATTTTTGTGACAGCAAAACTCCAAAGTTTTCTCAAAGAGTTGTGAAAAGCGCATATTAACTCATCGTGGTGAGGCAATAGGACGTTCTGAATGCGTCAGGTAAGTGAGGAAGAACTTTGAACCACTGCAAACTGTTTACAATGAACGAATTCTGTTTTTCACATTTTTAAGACGGTCAAAATCAGGTACAGAGCCTTTAATCTCGGCTAAATTCAGCATTTTATTTAAGAAAACTAAACCTCATGGTCAAAATGAATGCCACAAACATGTCAACTGTGTCTTTTAAGGACTCTTTAAGGACTTTTAAGTTTTATTACAACAAAATGAGCTGACAATGAAATGTGTTTTTTTTTTCCTTGTTGACAGCTATGACTTTTGACAAAGAATGAGAATATAAGAGAAAAACTGGTTTTGTTTAGGAAATAACAGATCATTCTAACAGATTGTGAATCCTTTTAATTTCTAATAAAAAAAATTGAAAACATCTCGTTTTGTTGCTTTTTTCCAAAGTTCAAATGTTACATAAACTGATTTATTAGGCCGGACATAATCATTAATTGGAGGTTGTGGGTGGAATTCCTGGATCGGCTTTGTCAGTGTGCATGTTCTCCCTCTGTCGCTGTGGCAGAGTGGTTATCCTTTCTCCTTTCAGAGCTGGGACCAAGTCATCATTTTGCAAGTCTCACCAAAGTACCAAATACAGCTTAGAATTTTGCAGTTTATATGAATTTTAAACTACTCATATAAATACCCCATGACTTTTTATTTATATTATATAAGAGTTGTAGAAATACTGTTTTTTATTTTTTTATTTTGCACATATAACATGACAATAAAAAGAAACACACGAGATAAAAAGTAGGTGCCGAAAGACGCAAAAACCCAATAGGGCGAAATATTAAAGCCTCTACCTTATGAATACATTAAACATTTTACATTATCATTGTGTATAAAAATAATAATAAATTATATAAATATATATACATATATATATATATATATATATATATATATATATATACACACACACACACACACACACACACACACACACATATATATATATATATATAAATGACATTTAAACACTGTGGATTAAATTCTTTTGATTCAAACATGGATTAAAACACAATGAAACATCCAGAATTTAAAGATGATCAAACAGCATGAAATATCAAACATTTCCTCAAACTCTTTTTAAACAAAGCCTCTGATCTGCTTCACTAACCAGATGTGAAAACTGGCTCCAGAATTTACAACCTCTGTATCGTAAAAACTGAGCTCTTGATGTGACACATTTTGGAACATGAAAATTATGAATTTGACGAGTTTTGTATCTATGAATCTCTGCATTGGTTTTAAAGTAAAATGTGAAATGTTCGGGGATCGTTGTTGAATTGTAAATAATTTTATACATAAAAATACAAATTTGATAAATATTCATCCCATAAATATTAAGAATGTTGAGTTTGGTGAAAAAATGAGCAGAAGATTTTTAAATGTCTTGTCAAGATCTTAGTGTGAATCATTACGGTCAGAATTTAAAGAATTCAGATTTAAAAGTGCTACAGTTATTTCAGTTGTGTTAGTGTATTGTACTGTATATTTATGAAGGTAAATTTGTCGCAAAATGAGAGAGCATGTAAACTTGATTTGAGAACTTGTAGAATATAATGTGAGAATGTGTAGAACAAAACTTTGAACTTGTAAATACCTATTTTCATATAGGTGTGTGTTGAATTTGCAGTCACGGTGAAAAAAAACACACGAGTGCTTGAAAAAAATGTGTGCACTTGCTAAATCAAGAGTGCTGGGACTGGCCTGGAGGTGCCCCCGCGTAGACTGTTGGGTGATCAGGAAACCTGGACCAGACCAGTTTAGACCTGGTTTAGTCCTGTTTTAGTCCTGGTTTAGTCCTGGTTCAGTCGTATGTGGTGCAAAAGTACAGCATCGGAGTTTAAGTCACGTAAATGGGAAATTTCGGCCGTTATTCATTTTTTTCATTTTGGTTTTGGAGACAAATAATGAAGAAAAAAGTTATTTTTTCATTTTCTTATTTTTGGTTTTATTTTGAAAAACTAATGATACACGGATTATTCATCCTCTCCCTTTCTAACTGGTCAACCCCACCTCCTCCCAGCTCTCTACAAGTGCAAATCAGTTTTGCAACATGCACATCGCAAAATGTGTTGCAAAAGTCAAAGGCGCGCAGATTTGAACCTGCTGAGACACATTTGAGAAGTTGCAGTCGCTGAGTTGTTTCTGTATCTGTCATGATGGATGCAGATGTCACTCTGTTCATGCAAATATCAATCTACACATTTATTCATATTTCTCTCCCGTGTGTAAATATTTTCCACAAGTGAAAATTTCAATCCCCAAGTGCACACATTTTTTTCAAGCACTTGTGTGTTTTTTTTTCACCGTGACTGCAAATTCAACACACACCTATATGAAAATAGATAATTACAAGTTCAAAGTTTTGTTCTACACATTCTCACATTATATTCTACAAGTTCTCAAATCAAGTTTACATGCTCTCATTTTGCAACATGTTTACCTTCATATATATTACTGTGGTACTTTTGAGGATACAATCTCAAAGTACTTCTGTTCAGTGTTGGGAGTAACGCGTTATAAAAGTAACAAAATACAGTAATGCATTACTTTTTGCTGTAACGCAGTAATGTAAGGCATTACAGGGGGAAAAAAAAGTAATATTTTACTCGGTACAAATGTGAGTAACGCGCGTTACAGTGTTTTTTTTTTTTACCTGGATTGAAGTGGTGGGTTTTTCTTCATACAAATTCGCTAAAATCACCTCGATATCAGCAGCGGTGAAACGCCGGAGATGCGCCCTCGTAGACCGTCAGGTAACCGCGGGCGAAAGGACTGACAAAGAACTCCATGCTGTTTAGACCTGGTTTAGACCTGGGTCAGTTCTGGTTTAGACCTGGTTTACACTCGTCCCTCCCTCTATCACAGTTCACTTTTCGCTGTCTCGCAGATTTTTTATTTTTATTTTTTGTGCAATTTTGCATGCCCTGTTTTTTTTTACATTGTATGAATGTGTATTGCGTTCCTCCCGCTGCATCCTGACTGGCCAAGGGACTCCTGTCTCCTGTACAGTACAGTACAGAATGTGTTCAGCTGCCAAATTTAAATACCGTTCAATCTCTAGCAGTGTGATTCTGAAGTGCTGTACGGTTGTAAGTTTTCTCCCTGACGAAACCCACAACGTCAACGAAACGTTCTGCACCGACAAAGGCTCCTGCGCTCACACCCAAAAGGCAGAGGAAGATGCAAACCATCACACAAAAAGTTGGACTTCTGGACACGCTGAAGGAAGGTAGAAGTTACGCGCTGTAACAGACTCTTGCACCGGGTCTTGTACCTGCAAATAGTTGCTGAAATCAGGGCCGCGAGCCCGAGCAGCAGAGTGTCCATAAAGAGCGATCGGGTGACAGCCGCTCTTACCTCCGTGAGGTGCGGAGCAGAGCCGCTCCTTTCTCCTGTGTCACCTTCGAGCCCGTCTGACAGTGAGTCCTGTTTTAGTCCTAGTTCACTTCTGGTTTAGTCCTGGTTCAGCTCTGGTTTAGTCCTGGTTTAGACGTGGTTTAGTCCTGGTTAAGTCCATATACAGCGCACGAGTTATTTTGGTGAGAGTAACTTAAAGTAATGCAATAGTAATGTAATGCCTTACATTTTAAATGCAGTAATATTGTAATGTAACGAATTACTTTGAAATGACAGTAATAAGTAATAAATAACACATTACAGTTTCAAAGTAACTTGCCCAACAGTGCTTCTGTTACATCCAAAGTAACAAACAGAAGTGAAATGAACATGTTTCAGTTTGTTCCTATAAATTGAATCACCACATTTATCAACTGTAAAGAGAAAAGTATTTTCTAAAAACATATATATTTTTTAGGAGAAGCACCAAGTCACAGGGCTCAAGTCCAAGTCGAGACCCAAGTCATGTAGTTAACATGATTAAGTGAGATTCAGGAGCAGAATCAGAATTTATTTGTGATTTCAGTATAAAAAGAAAAAATACACAGAAATTAAATACTGTACTCAGCTCCAGGTCAACAGCAGCATAGATAATAATAAGAATAAATAGTTCAAATATTCTATGTCAAATACAGTCTTTAAAACAGCCCCCACCACATCAGGACCACGCCTCAGCCGCCCTCTCCTCCTCATCAGCCAACCACAACTCACTTCGACTACACCGCTAATTTCCCACAAGTCTATTTGTAGCAGCTTTTCCCATCACCCCAGTTTGTCTTCTCTAACTCGACCCCACCCTGCCGCCCCTTATCTTGTCCGCCTTTCAGCCATAAGACGCCTGCGAGGGGGGGGTCCCATTCCGGCTGGACCAGGTGAAGATCGAGACGGAGCCCCCACCCAGAGTTGAACATTATCAATAAACTTCTTCTTCTTCTTCTTCACGCTGTGTCACTGTTGGCGTGGTCCTTGTTAGTGAATTGGTTTATTTTATCAAGTCAAGTCTCAAGTCCTAAAAATAGTGACTCAGATCTGACTCGAGTCCAAGTCACGACGTGCAACTCCCACCTCTGTCTCCTCCCGTAATGAGGTTGTGGGTTAGACTCCTGATCTCTATGTATGTTCTCTCTGTGTCACTGTGGCAGCACTGCAAAAAAGTCTGGGCAAAATGTAAGATATAAACACTTCAATCTATCAGAAAATGACTTAAAAGTGTTGAAATGATCTGACCAAGCAGCAAGATCATTTTACTGGACAAGATCTCTTCAAATAAACGACATCTAGACGAGAATGAAGCCGTCTCTGGTCTAGTAAGTTGATAATAAATCTGAAAACAAGATGAATAACCTGATATAAGTTTGAAACTCTTGGTCAGATCAGAGATATTTGCAGTGAGAGTGTTTATCCTGTCTCCATCTCTCATGAGGAGGTTGTGGGTTAGACTCTTCTCCCTGTGTCGCTGTGGCAGAGTGGTTAGCGGGTCTCTGTTCAGGTGAGTGGATAGAATACAGTACATACCTGGAGTGACATCATGCTGTTGTGTTGTGTCGCGTCGTCACTTTTGGCCTGAGTGTGTGTGTGTGTGTGTGTGTCTGTGTGTGTGTGTGTGTGCGTGTGTATACGTGTGTGTATACGTGTGTGTGTGGGTGTGTGTGTGTACGTGTGTGTGCGTGTATCTGTGTGCATGTGTCTGCGTGTATGTGTGTGGGTGTGTGTACGTGTGTCTGTGTGCGTTTGTCTGCGTGTGTCTGTGTGTATGTCTGCGTGTACGTGTGTGCGTGCGTTTGTGTGTGTGTGTGCGTGTGTCTGTGTGTGTGTTTGTGTGTGTGCGTGTGTGTTTGTGTGTGTGTGTGCGTGTGTGTTTGTGTGTGTGTGTGTGTGTGTGTGCGTGCATATATGTGTGTGCATGTTTGTGTGCATGTGTGTGTGTGTGTATGTGTGTGTGTGCGTGTATATGTGTGTGTGTGTGTA